GAGGTCGAAGTGACCACGCACCCCACACCGCCCCCTGGCAGCCCTGGGGACAATAACATCCTTTTGGGGAACAAGTTATATTGGCAAAACAACTAGGTGTGTATCCAGTCTGATGCAAGAACACTATCCAGTCGGGTTAAACGGAGGCGTGGTTAAGTCCATATCTAGTGCGAGTTTTTTTTATTCGATTGACAGCGGTCACCAGGTAGACGTCAACCAAGTGATTCGAGTCATTTACAGTGTCGACGAAATACTCCAAGGTCTCGCGTCAGTGGATACGTTGACGGCAGAGGCAGGCACCATATGGCTGACTAACCCAATTTTGTGAGCTCAGAGCGCGTTTATACAGCCACTGAGACTGCCTTGATTGCAGACCTACTTAGCATGCTTCTTATAACATCCTACCACGTCGCGTTCCAGCAGCGACACAGCGACATAAAGTAGTTATCGGATCCCTTGATCTCGGAACAGCCTCTCTTCCTTACATACTCTCTATTGAATGTTTATACTTTTTTCACTACCCTCCCCCTTATATTATTTTAATTGCGTGATGATGAAGACGTACGTTCGCAAAACTTGAGTTCTTGGACGTACAGGAAAGTAAATATGAACAAAAGTAAGCAGAACTGGTACAATATCTAGCGAAACAGTAAAAAAAACCAGTCATGATCCACTAGGAGAGCGAAAACTGCCTGAAAAAAACTAAAATTCAGACGGGTTTGGCAAAAGAACTACTGTTTTACTAGAACATAGTGCAATTTAGCACTTTTTTAAAAGCAAAACGTTTAATCCAACCATGAGTCAAGTTGTTAACTGCAGTACGCTGTGAAAATCATCGTGCAGGAACTGGTGTCATTAATGGAAAGAGGAGGGCCTAACTAAACGTCAGTCAATTCGCTGGTAACTGTCGGCTTCGACTAAGAATTGCTCAGCCTCCCAGGAGCCACCTTGCTTGCAATATATCCTCACGTGTGCAATGCACTTTCTTTTATCAAGACAGTCATGTTAGGCGACTCCATGTAGATAGTTGAAACAAATCGCGATTCAGAGTCAAAATGCCATTATTTGTGGACGAAGGTGAGATCCCCACCAGTTCTAGACTCTGTTGATATCGTGCTCGAACTAAATCTTCATATGCAGGCTTCGTCACTCCACGGGTTTCGGTCATTTCTGATTACGTAGATCGCCCTAATATTTGAGCGAGAAAACCCTCTTAAAAGTATCATGGTTACAGCCAGAACGTCAGTCTTTCAAGAGGGCATACGCAAGGATACGTAATCTCGAAGGAGGCAGGCAGTGTGGAGAAGTTGGAGTCAGCTTGATTCAAAACAACTTACTTTACATAGGCGCCATGAAGCAGATGTGATAAGCATTATAATTTTTCGAAGTAAATACATGGTGCACCCTGTCGGAAAAGTGTCTTGCTATATCTAGATGAAAGCTTGTAAAGCGGGCAAGATTCAATGAAAAAAACAGGATTACTGTAAAAATTCCACGACCATGTACCGAGCCAATCTGACTTTTAACGGGTAGAAGATACTTACTTTGTCGTAACTCTAAAACCGTTCTTGATATAATAAGAACATACATAACAGTTAAAAATCAGTCATTACATAAACCAATACCAAAAAGCCAAAACGCTTCCTTCTTAGTTCATGTCGCATGTTGCCTTAAGTTGACCAATACGAGCCTATTTCACATTAATCATTGCACGGTTTATGCTGCATTTAAGAAGGCTACTATTCGTGGTGAATCAGCAAAAGTGAAGCCCGCATAGTCATGAAGTTAGAATAGCCGCCAACATACGAACAAACGGAATATTAACGAGGGCTTAAAATTACCTTTAAATTCAGGGAGGTGGAGGAGAGAGAAGTGGTAGGTTGGATGTTGGCATAAAACTCCCGATTGTTGTAAATGCAGTCAATGGAGTCAGACGGTCCGATCGGCGAATCCGAGGCGGAAGATGATTTTTTGTTTCCACATTCCCAAGGCACCCCAGAAATGTGCCAGAGACGACCTCCAGATACTGCATCGAATATTACCACCTCCTCCTTTTTGAAGTTCTGAAAACAAAATATTGAGATCTGCATATGTGCAAAAAATTGAGTTCAAAAGTGAAAGCCTGGGAGTAGTTAAATATTCTCGTTCGGGTGCTTTTTAAGCACAAATATCTAAAGATGTTCGATTTCTAATGCTATCAGCGTAATTTTGGTCTTAGAATCTTCACATATTATAAACACGAATGCGCGATGAGGATCTAGTCCTACTTAATTTTAAGGCGGAATGCGTTAAAAATTGACAAGGTGTACACTATGAATTGTGAAGGCCTACTAATAGCTAATCATAAAATACACTCAGTGGAATCTGTCGATTGCTAGCAATTCGGCAACCGAAAGTAAGTCAGGACATGCTGCTCGTGTTTCAATAATAATAACAATAAAGTACACTACCGTCTTTATTAAAGTAGAAAGATATATTGCAAAATTTAAAATAGGTGTGTGAGGAGCTAAAAAACACTAAGGTCTGCCGCATGCCAGTTTTGATTGTTAATAAGTTCATAAACGAGCGTATCTAAGATCATACCGCTCCAATTTCAAAATACAAAATCAAAAATACACGCTGCTTCATTTTTAAAAGTAACAATCTGTACTTCAAAATGTTAAAAGACTGTGGGAGAGCTATAAAACTTTAAAGGCCACCGCATGTCAGTTTCGATTACTATGTTCTTTATAACGTCAAGTTGCGTCATTTTGAATCGCCATTTATATGTTCGTACCCCTAAATTTAAAGAGCAGACAGAGGTTCGGCTACAGAAAACGACTTCTGCTACCGCTCTTTGACTAGGTCTCTGATGATGAATTCGCGATGGAACTCGAAACGTCAGGCGACTAAAAGTATTGTCCCAATGATCGGGTCGTCTTCTTTTTCTCAAAACATATTATCCTAGATTGAAAAACCTCGGGTTGAACATAACTGGTTCATGACAATTAAGCATCAAAAAAACAAATTATAGTCTTAGTGAACTTCGTCGGAAACTAGGTTTGCAGAAAAAATGCTATTCTGGGAAAACATCTAGTACAGTGAATGTGAAAGTTTGCTTTCCAACAGTCGAACAGGAACAGGAACAGTCCGTTTATTGTCCTCCGTTTGTTGCTACTTTTATCTTTGAGGGCTAACCCCTGTAAGAGTTTGGAAGTTCAGGACAATTAGCAGACTGTTCCGGTGCTCGATTAGGCTTCTTCTTTACTCATATGCCACAGTATTTGGTCTTGTTTGTTCCACATTAAATATCCCATTTTTGAATTAATGGCGTTTAAAAATCGTACTGGGCTACAGTTAAGTAGAAGAAATACAGAAGCAATCACAGCATATAGAACTTTCTAGACATGTGTGCTGTTATCCGTGGCACGAGTGTTTAAAGATGAAGAGGCAGGTGAAGGTGAAAGCGTGCAATAACGGATTACACAAATATGCACACTGCAGGGAAATACAGCATTTTGACTTACGTCAAAGACAATGACCCAGGCATAGTAGGGTGGTTTATCCGCGTCCTGCGGAGTTCCAATTTCTGTGTATGAACAGGGGCCTTCGGCCTTAATGCCAATGGCAACGTAGGCAGCAAGTCCGAAACCCAGCAGGATGGAACACAGAAGGTTTGCATGGTCAGCCACGCTGCCGCGGTTCCGCGAAATAAACGCAGGACCTAAGAGTACCATTCAAACACATTGAGGCGACGAGGAATGAAGAGGAAAAACATACTTAGCCTGCCTATGCAATCTGATATCAGAAAATCCAATATCAGCGGTTAAGTCCCTTGTAGTAATTTTTTCCCCTCCTTAGAAATGAAAACGAAGTTACAAAAAATCCTTCAGGTAGCTATGTTTAAAGCCAACTAGCACAGAATCAAACTTAACATAGGGAGTCTTAAAAATGCTTGGTAAATAGGCATAACTAAAACAAAAAGGATTGTGAGTAAGCCCCTCACAATATTCACATGAACAAAGCAACGAATCTTCGGATCCCAAGGTTAAAAAGCGTAACACATAGTTGAATGCACACTAGCATAAGTACTTTTTGGCATTGCTGGCAAGTAGAGAGAGGTAGAGGTAGACATAGTCATATTAGGTGGTGTTGGGAAGTGGCACTGTATACAGTCCGGATAGGCTGAACAAAAAGGTGCTTTATGTTCATTAACTGTGACATTTTTAGAAAGAAGGGAAAGGTTAAAATGACGTTGAATCGTTTGAAATGAACAAACTGCAAACTTACATACACTAACACAATAGCCTGTTTGGTTAGCTATACAACGAGATTTCATTTGTTCCGAAAATGATACGCACAGGTACCTTAAATTAACCATGGACATACCCTGTAGCGCACAGAATAAAATAAAATGAACTTCGGGCTGCAGAAAATTCCGTTAAAGTAAATAATGCTAAATGTTTTCGTCAAAGAAAAAATGATTAAATGAAACCCGAAAAGCTCGTTTTTAAACAGCCATTCCACAGGAAGGATTTGATGCATATTAATACGAGCTGTACGTAGCGAGCCAGTTAAATAGTTTGGTCCCAGGTAAGCCACCTAAATGCTGGTCTTTTTTTCGACAGGAGGTATTAAAAACCATATACTTACTTTCAATAATTGGTCATAATTTTTTGATTTTGTTGCAGTCCCTTCTCAGGATCTACGGACTGATCGCGAGATTAAATAATCTTACGAAGGGTTGATCAACAGGCGGATTTCCAAGTCAACGCATTACAAAAACATTCGTTTATGAATGCTCACTAATCGCTAACAGAACTCACGCCTCCCGTTGTGCCTTGGGACTCACTCTCGAGCCCTGCCGACAGCCGCAAAGCGACCAGTAGTGCATATGGATGAGCACGCGTTAGAAGGTTAGATTTTGGACACAGATCGCGGGTTCGAGCCTCGAGTGCAGCACCCTTTGGGTTTGGGTATGACTGGCTGATGACGGATAATGAGCCAGAAATGGCCATTTCAGTCGCCTCTGTTCCTGGCGGCAATGTTAATCTTCATACACGACTAGCCGCTGCCGGGGGACTCAAAAGAAAGCCACAAAGCGGAACGGTTAAATTCATTTTTCAATATTGCAGCAATAGGGAGTCAGTGTCGTCATTTCAAACGCTTCCTGATAGGTTTTCTGGGTTGTACTTTGTCAAGCATTTTACACAAATTCGGAACGCAAACGGGCCTACCTGTACACCAAATATCCTGATGGGCGGCACCAACGGTAGACCAGTGACTGCAGGGAATGCACGCGACGAAGCGCACCGCTCGACCGACTGTTCCAAGGCATCTTTCGTCAGGCAGTGGGTGAACAAAGCGGGTGACAAACCTACATAAAAGTTGGAAACAGTTTCCACTTAATGGTGATCTGTAAAAAGCAGTCAATGTTGTGAAGTGGCAGTTAATAAGGCTTAAAATGTTACAGGTAAATATGGGTTGACAAGGAAATCAAAGAAGACGGTTTTTCCTAAAGAAGGCACTCAGCTTGTAATTTTAACAATATTAAAAAAATACGTGGTCTAGAGTGAAGTAGAGCAGATTCCCCATATCATGAAATATCGAAGTTAATAATGAAGTGGGATTTTGGTTCGAATTGATGGTGATAAGGATACATTTCTTAAGTGGGGTTGGAATTTTGATTATCGTTTAGCCTAGTCTCAAGATATGTCAGCCATGGAAGGATGGCGGCTTCTGAACGAGCTTCCTTCCAAGCGCCTGGACAAAGTATATTCTTAAAAATGGCTAATTAAGTAGTGTGCGTTTTTATCATTGATTTTTTATGGGCTTATTAATTCAAATATATTTTGCAGAAACATGCAATTTTTGTAGTCATTTTCTATGCAATAATGTCTCCTCTAAATTTCATCTTTTAAGAGTACCTTTTGTTTTTAGAAAAATGTCTGATTATGAGATTTTTTACGGTCGTGATATATGCATTCATAATATACCATATCCGTCAATGTACTGACATTCCGTAACCGATCGGCAAGCGCCTATCTTCTATTAGAAAGAAAAATGATACACAATTCCTCTTCTGTACGCCACAATCTATCCGCAAAGCGCTTTACAATCCTATTGGAGGTCGAGGAAAAGACAACAGTGCGTACAATACAAAACAGTCCTAAAAGCTCAGCAGTGAAATATCTGTGTTCGCCGACTCACTGTGGCCTGCCGTTTTCGTCCAGCGCGTACATCTTCACCATTCTACCCTTGAAGGCGCCGCGATGTAGGAGGCAGTATTCCTGCCACCACTGACGCCCGTACTGGGCAAAGGCAAGCGATCGCTCCTCTCGACTACCCTCCTCCAGGGCGAAGTGGGCGGTGATGAAATTGGCGGGTGGCAGAATGCAGCCGGCATTCTGTTGGGTATTCGCATTCCAGGCAGCCGGCTGCAAGTGCACGCCAATGCGCATCTCTAGAATCCCCGCCGTCAACTGGCAAGTAAGGTATAAAAGTAGACTATTTATCGCAAAACTGCAAAAAGGACGGCGTGTACATTTCTATGAAGGAAACGATTCAAGATAAATAGTCTCACTGTTAATACGACCCTATGGAGAGACCTGTACACAAACTAAAAACGCAATTACACTCAACTCGATTCTCCTTCCAAATTATCCTTCACGGCCTGAGCTGCTCAGGCAAAAAGACATGTGTACTATTACAGTTAAAAAAACTATATTTTCTGGAGGATTCATCCCCAGCTAAGTTCTTAAAAGAAAGTCGAAAAAATCAGCAAATGTGGACAGCTGGCATAAATAAAAGGAGCAAAACATCAAGTCTTCTGAAAAATTTTTCTGCGATTCCCCAAATACATGAGTCCTTACAGGCACATGAATTCGATACCGTAAACATATCTACTGACAAATAGTCAGTAAGAGCGTAAGAAATAATATTGGCAATTCACACTCGCCAAGCTAAACCACAGCACAGGTGAGCGCTCCCAATTCGCGTTAGTGCGTAAAATGTAAATTATTGAACAGTTTTAAAGTACCTAGGTAATGTTTAGTCCCGGGGAATAATAAATATCTCATATAACACGTGATTAAACAAAATGAGCCACGATCATTACTGGCATCTTAGTTGATTGATTCCCAGTTTCTACAGTGTTAGGTAAGTAGCCATGTTACAGGTGGCTTGTTTCCATTCACCGAAAAGAATTCTGGGGCCAACTTGCACGATTACCCCATACACAAGACTACGACAAAAATTGTCGGTTTAGACAAGGTCCAACATGTGATCCACAGCAGGGTGATGCCAACACGTTGACTTGTGATTTATTTACCTCACCCTTTCTCCACTTCCCCGCCTGGACCAGAGCTCGGCATAGGGTCAGGAAGACCGATGCATGCATTGTGGACCACCGCAAACAAGAAAAAAAAAGCAAAAGAGGATGACACGGATACCAGCTGAGTAGGAGTGTAATAAAGGATATAGTAAGAAGGAGCCAATGTAATCTTCCTATCAGTCCGCCGGTCAGCCTCTTTGCATCAACACATACTGTGCTGGCCTTGCAGTCCGAGTTATTTCGTCAGTTGGCCAGCTTCCAAGCTACGGCTTTTA